CCCAGTATACTGACAACCCCCAAACCCTTCTTTGTGGTTTTAGGCTCATTTGAATCCAAAAGCACCCCCAGAAAAACCACCTGAAACCCCCGGACCACCAAAACCCTAAACCCTAAACCCTAATTAGTAAAACCATAAACCCTGCCCGCTCGGATTCGTTTGAGTTGGGAATAGTCGGGCCTGAAGTCTATTATGAAAACCCTCATGTCTTAACACCCCCTAAACCCTTCTTTGTGGTTTTGAGCTCATTTTAACCCAAAAACCCCCAAAAAAAGCCCATTCCAAACCCCAAAACCACGCCAAACCCTAAACCCTAAACCCTAAACCCTACCTGTTCGGATTCGCTTGAGTTGAGAGTAGTCGGGCCTGAAGTCCGGGCCCCAGTGACTGACGCAGTGGGCCTCATCCACTACAAATCTTTTCAAAGTCCCTTTTTGGTTTAAAGAGTGCAGCAAAGAACGAACAGATTTGCTGCTGCTCAACTTCTCAGGAGTCAAGAACAACAGCGGCACGCTCAAACCCTCGCAGCGCCTGCAGCAAACCCTAAACCCTAAACCCTAAATCTAAACCCTAAAGCCTAAAGCTTTGCACGAAATGGGAGTCACGGAAGAAGAGGCCCGAAGGGGGAGTTGAGAATGAAAGAGGCAAACACAAACCATCACAGCGAAACCCTGAACCCTAAACCCTAAACCCTAAACCCTAAACCCTAAACCCTTAACCCTAAACCCTAAGCCCTAAAGCGTCGAGCCTTAGCTCTAGCACAATAGAAAGACAAGACTCAAGAGTCAGAAACAAAAGCGGCACGTACAAACCCTCGCTACGCCTGCACACGCAAACCCTAAACCCTAAACCCTAAACCCTAAACCCTAGCGCGGGACAGGAAGCACGGAAGAAGATGCAAGAAATGGGAGTCGCAGAAAGCAGCAGCACGCATAAACCCTCACAGCGGCTCCATATACAACACGCCACAAACAATAAACCCTAGACCCTAAACCCTAAACCCTAAACCCAGGCACAGAACACGAAAACTCGAGACCCGGTACCCAAAAACCGCCAAACCCTAAACCCTAAACCCTAAACCCCAGACCCGGAGCCCGAAGTCGGCTAAACCCTAAACCCTAAACCTTAGACCCGCCCTGTAGACCCTAAACCGTAAACCCTAAACCCTAAACCCTAAGCCCTCAAGCAGAAGCTGAAGCCACACTGTGCTGCGGGTTCCGCCCTGTTTTGCTGCTGCCGCTGTCTCTTTGAATTTTTCTGAGGCAGGGAAGGGTAATAGGGCTTAGGGTTTAGGGTTTAGGGTTTAGGGTTTAGGGTTTTCGTACAGGTCATCGTAGACCTGCCGCTGCTCCTCCCAAGTCTGGTTTGAAGTGAAGGCTCTGCACTCAATGCCCAACTCCTGCAGCTGAGCCATTTGATCCTGCAGCAGCAGCAGCAGCAGCAGCAGCAGCAGCAGCGGATGAGGCCTTTGACCCGGAAGCAGCAGTTGCAGACCAACCATTCTGTTTCTGCTTTGTTATGAAAACAGCAGCAGCAGCAGCTGCTGCTGCTGCAGTAGCTGCAGGAATAGCTGCAGCAGCAGCTGCAGCAGTAACTGCAGCAGTAGCTGCAGCAGCAGCAGTAGCTGCAGCAGCAGATGAAGCAGCAGCAGCTGCAGCAGCTTAAACAGCAGGTGAATCACCAGCGGCTGCAGCAGCAGCCGCAGCAGCAAAACTTGCTGCAGCAGCATAAAAACAATAACGATAGCTCCTCTACAATCTAAACCCTAAACCCTAAAGCCTAACCCCTGAACCCTCAGAAAACAAAACAATCCAAAACCAAAACTCTTAACCCTAAACCCTAAACCCTAGAAATAGCAGCGAAATTTAGTCGATTCTTCAAGCGAAAGCAAACGCCTATAAATCGATTAAACCCTAACACAAGATCCATGAATCTCTCCCACATTTCCTGCCCTTAACGTAAACCCTAAACCCTAAACCCTAAACCCTAAACCCTACCTGCATCAAAGACAACAGAGGC